GTACGAAGACACCCTTGACGCCATCCACGGACTCAACTCGCTTGACCAAGATGTTTGGTATGACTGCATGCACAAGCTAACGAGCCGACTGCGAGTCTTCGTATCGAAGAACAAGTCACCCAACCCGGAATTAACGGCGGTGCGTGTGCGGCTTACTCTCCTGTACGGGAACAAGTTCTTGGGCGCCGCACTGGCTCATATGCAGGACGACGATGGTCGGGTTTCTGTGAAGCGTTGTGGGCGATCAATTATCGATCCCCGGGATGGACAATGGCGCTCGTAAGCGCTGTGGCTCAAGATAAGAAATGCCCTCGTGAGTAGCGGAGCAACTACAAGCGCGATCATGAGCAACCCTGCAATTCCCATGCTATTCATCGTCTTACCGCATAATCGTAGTCGTAAGGGTCACTACAAATTTGGGAGGATGGTTATGCCATATGGTCAATGCCTTGTTTTATTTAGATTGCGAGGTAATTTTATAAAAGTAAGCCTAAAAAGTTAAAAACGTTGTATCCAATAGCAGAACAACATCTACTCGGTATCACAGCTATTGTCACTCGCCTCAATGTCGTCGTCCGAATCTATATTTGCGCTAACAAGTTTTAGTCCAAGCAGCTTCTTCACAGTATATTCTGTGTCGCAGGAATGTGTATCGTCGTCTTCGACGACACGTGTATCCATCAATAACCCCACCTTGACACTGTATCCAGCCTTCGGCCCACGACCATCGATGCTCGCCCCGTCATCTTGAAGCAAACTAAATACCGGTTACATCAGAGCACGTCAGCGACGGGACCTGAATCGAGAAGTTCGAGCGGCTGAGCTCACGGGAATTATGGCCAGACTAGCAGGCGTTACAAGACTTGTTACATTATTAATGAAAAAACTTACTCTGTATCTCAGGGCGCGACTTCCGAGCTCCCCGCGGTTGAGGCGGCAGCTCTTTTCAACGTTACACGCGCAACCATTTACAGGTGGCGAAAGGAGAAGAAAATAATAGAGGAGGAGGCCAAAGAGACACCAAATAAGTATTTCCCCCCACGGAGCAAATCAAGCTCCAACACATACTCTTCCCTGAGCTGTATATCGTTTACAATTTTTTTATCGCTTTTAATTTGTATTTTTCTACGGGCTACTCGACTGGATCAGGTTAATGCGACATACTAAGGGCCTATGTGCTACAATGAAATGCATCATTCTCATTATTGGGAAGTTTGATTCTAAGTTCTCAGCATCAAGGACACACTGTGCTCTCCTGGGCAGTTCGCTTTCTAAAGCAAAACAACCTTGGAGTGCGTCGTATCACACACAAGGGAACTAAGCGCAGAGCAGACATACATGTATACTTTGTATTTAAAATAATTGCAGCTAAACCTGACTAATTAGAATTGTATTTTGTAAAATAGGAAATTGCCGGCGTGTTTTCTCGGACAATGCATGTGAAGTCGAAGGTGATGTTGTTTTTCGTCGTCTATTTTTAGTCTTTTTAACATGGATCAGACGGGTGTTTGCCTCGACAATCCCTCTTGGTTGACGATCGACGTTCATGGAGCGAAGCACGTCGACGTTGTCCAAGGTATGAGTGAAAACGGAGCTCGATGCAGTAATTTTCTCTGTGCTTCTGCACTGGGGGAAAAGTTTCCCGCACTCGTGGTTTTCTTTGGTGTGCCTGGTGCCGATGTCTACACAGAGGTGTCCGACCCGAACTGGGGGCACCCCAATGTTGTACACACCACGCAGCGGAAGGCGTGATGCGACCATGCCACAATGACGAAATTTGGACCGAAGAGGTGGTAAAAAATATTTTTTTACCTTATAAATATCGTGAATTTATAAACTTAATTGTTTTGCGTTTTGTTTTCTTAGGTTTGGACACCTTCGGCTGACGGATGCCGCATGCTCATGCTGGACAGTTTACGAGTGCACAAGATATAGAGCGTGAAGATGCATCTCGAAGATACATGTTGCACAAAGGTGCAGTACGTTCCTCCGGGGATCACTGGACTTAGCCAGCGGATAGATGTGAGGGTTATGCGCTCGTTCAAGAGCATCATCCAGTAATTACTTGTTTGTAGCTTAACAGAATCGCAACATGTCTAATACTCTTTATCAATAGGGATCTATACCGATAATATCACAGGGACCACGAGTTCTCTAAAAACGCAAGTGAGCGACGCTTGCTACTCTCTCATGTCATTGGTAAGGCTTGGAAAATGGTTGACGATACAGCTATTATGAACGGGTTCAAGGATGCGAATTATCTCCCAGTGGTCCCTCGTGATGCAAACGGTAAACTTAGAACCTACTTGCTTCCTCCTCCTCAAGATGTTGTTGTCGACAAGTGACCGCATAAACACATCATTTTGTTTTGATTAATTTATAATATTAAAGCGTTTCATCAAATCATCAGAAGGGAGGTCACACACGTACATATATCGATGTCTCATTTGAGCTGTATGTCTCATTCGATCCGACAAATTCGGTAAGGTAATTGAGCAAATGAAGAAGCTAGAAAAGGACAGCAGTTTTTTACGATGCCTGCGGGTGTTTTTTTGTACTTCGAAGACAGGGCTATGCGTAAGCTGGGATAGACAAAATACTAAGAATCTTAATATTTTATAGTATGAAAGCGAAATAGATCTTAGACCACGATATGTTTAGACCGGTCTTTTATATCAGCAAACGTACAATAGTGGGACAAAAATCGAGAATAACAAAATTGTATCGTAGGAGTATCTTCAAACATTGTTGTAGTTGAAGTCGGAGTATGCTTTCTTAATTAGCACATATCACATTTAACGTTTTCACCCTAAGCTGTAAGCAACCGCCCTGAGCAAAAATGTTTGTTTAATTACCTTTCATCTGGACAGACAACGTTTTGTTTAAAAGGTTTCAGAGAATAGTAAGCCAACGGCGTGGATACAGGTGCGTATATGTGAGAGATAAATGACCAATTTTTTTTTTTTGCACCCTACACGTTTAAACGCCATTATCCATGTTCCTTCTAGCTGTATCTGGTTGTGCTATTTCAAACGTGCTACTCTAACGGGCAGCTATATATTCCCCACAGTACCAGGAGGTGCGCAACGGATGTCCCGGGAGGGAATAAACGGCGGCACCCCCGGCCGCTAGCGTAGACTCGCAAGGGTTCTGCAAGTATCGACTAGAAAGCATCGTCGACAGGACGAGAGACCACTATCGGAGCTGGGCTAGTATGAAGCGATGTAGCACCGCCGAGCCCATCATCTGGCTGCCATGGAGAATCATGTGGAGAAAACAGTCAAAACGATGCGACCCTTACCAAAGGGCACGACCAAGAAGCGGCTGTGGATGAAGAAAACTGCAGCAAGAAATAGTAGAAAACGTTTTGCAGAATGAAAACAGGGAATAGTACAGCAAACTGCAGTGTCGAGTGGATTCGACGGAGACCCATTGCCCGGCGGATCATGCGGAATAGCGAATAATGTAAAAAATACAGCGGGTATGAATAGGCTATTACCTGACCGACTCACAAGATACAAATACAACTCATACAGAAAATGGGCTCGACTGAACGGACGTTTTAATTCGTCAGT